GGGTTCAGGCAATTCTCCTGCCTCAGCCTCCTGAGTAGCTGGGATTACAGGCACGCACCACCATGCCCAGCTGATTTTTTGTAGTTTTAGTAGAGGCGGGGTTTCACCATGTTGACCAGGATGGTCTCGATCTCTTGACCTCGTGATCCACCCACCTCGGCCTCCCAAAGTGCTGGGATTACAGGCTTGAGCCACCGCGCCCGGCCCATTTATGACTATATTTAGAAGAAGGAAGCAAAGAAAATGAGCACATATCCACCACCATTAGCCTAAGAGTTTATTTAAAGTCCTATATCTTATTTCTTTATGTATCCTCTGTGTTTGGCATAGAACTCAGAGAGTAAATTCTGCGTAAGTCTGTTCAATATATATTTGTTAAATTTATGATAAATTCATCATAATATTAATAGCCTACATTGGTTATCCCCTATTACGATCCAGACACTGTTCCAAGCATTTTAAATGCTTTAATTTGTTTAATTCTCTTAACAATTCTGTAAAATGGGTAATATTATTCTTATTTTATAGACAAGACAGTGGAAAACACCTTTTGATTTAGAAAGAAGGAAACAAGTTTTGACTGGGCGTGGTGGCTCATGCCTGTAATCCTAGTACTTTGGGAGGCCAAGGCAGGTGAATCACTTGAGCCTAGGAGTTCAAGACCAGCCTGTGCAACATGGCAAAACCCTGTTGCTACAAAAAGTACAAAAAATTAGCTTGGCATGATGGCATGTGCCTGTAGTCCCAACTACTCAAGAGGCTGGGATGGGAGGATTGCTTGAGCCTGGGAGGTGGGGGTTGCAGTAAGCCTTGATCACACCACTGCACTCCAACCTGGGTGACAGATCCTATCTCAAAAAGGAAAAAAAAAAAAAAACCAAAACCCAAGTTTTAATACCTCCCAGAAGAAGTTATTATGGATCTTTCCTCTAAAGAGAAAAAAGAGATGTATATGCCACACATGATGATGATGACACGTCACTGTGCTTTGTGCTGGCAACTGGTAAACCCCTCCCACCCATTCAGCCTGCCCTGTAAATACTTACTTTAATAATGTTCAGCTTGGGTAACAAGCTACAATCAGCCAGTGTTAGCTGGTCCCCATCCAAGAACAGTCTTCTGGAAACTGTGGGTTCCTCAGCACTGCCTGAATCAATTTCATCCAGAAGCGGGGTGTTTAAGTAGTCATCCAGACGCTTGAATTCTTTGAGCAGAGATTTTTCAAAATCTGAGGCAATGAAGTAATAAAGTTACTTGTAAATGTATTGTCTTTGTGGCTAAATGCTTTCTAAATATGCTTTCCATACATTTAGATACCTCTATCTATACACATTGCTTATGCTGGCTCTTCAACATCTAGTTAACTATTTAGAATGCTCAACTACTTACTGATAACAGAAAGTAAGATTGAATAGTGAGTGTAAATCTTTTGGACTTTTCTTAAGGAGGTACATTGGTTGGAGAGTAAAAGAAGGAAAAGTGATATATGTTATCCAACTCAGAAGAGCTAGAAAGTGAAGAAAACACACAGTTCTTGTGACTCAGAGGATAATAAACCTATTTAAGAATGTTCATGGAAAATGGTAGCTGCCACAGTTTAAGAAAACTTAAAGGTACACAGTCCTGCAGTTAGTTCACACCTGGTATGTCAATATTCTAATTGAGCTGTGTTGGTAATTGCTATATTGAATCTTGAGTTCTAAATCTAATAAAACTTAATACAAGGGAATTTCAGCGGAGAGAACAGAGAATGAGGGGAAGACTAGGCTATTCCCTGAAATATGCTATATATTTTGGAAAAGTCTATTTTTCCTGAGTAAAAATATGAAGAGTGAGAGAAGAATAGAGATTTAAAGAAAGGTATCTTACTTTTATTTGCCTCCTTTTGTGTATTCTTAATGTATGCAGAAAACTTGGCAAAGAGGTTACAGCCCACATCAAAAGACTCCTTGTACTTGGGACTCAGGTGAGGATACCTTAAAAAAGAACATGAGTGAGCTATCATTTGCACATAACAACAGAGACCAGGTGCCCTAGCTTGCACTATACTGAAAATGGAAGTTCTGGAAAATTGTTCTGGAAACTAAACATCCTCATAAGTCTCCCAGTAGAAGTTTATCTTTTTTTTCCAACCTCAGAACATTTTAGTTTCTAAAGTTCACAGGGAAATCAGTTGTCTGGAATCCAATGCTCATTTATCTGTAGAAACAATGTTTCAAATGGTGGCTAGGTTTACCTACTTGCTCCAAAAACACTATTTGGCAGAAGATAGTGTCAATACAGTACATTTTCAGAGATGAGTAGTAGAAAATTATGGTTTCGGCCAGGCGCGGTGGCTCACACCTGTAATCCCAGCACTTTGGGAGGCCAAGGTGGGCGGATCTCCTGAGGTCAGGAGTTTGAGACCAGCCTGGCCAACATGGAGAAACCCCGTCTCTACAAAAAATACAAAAATTAGCCAGGTATGGTGGTGGGCACTTGTAGTCCAAGCTACTTGAGAGGCTGAGGCAGGAGAATTGCTTGAAGTTGGGAGGTGGAGGTTGCAGTGAGCCGAGATTGCACCACTGCACTACAGCCTGGGCAAGAAGAGCAAGACTCCATCTCAAAATATATGTATATATGGTTTCAAATATTGCAACTTAGAAAACAAATGAAGGAATAAATAGGATGGAGAAAATGGAAAAATATAGCTAAGATATCCTCTCTTAGTAATACAAAGCTCAGTTAGAATAATTAAATAAAATAACATAGTAATATAATTCACCACATTAACGAATCAAATTAGAAAACCCATATGATCATGACTAGATGCAGAAAAGTATTCAATAAAAAATCAGCACCTCATGGAGCTATCTGTGCTTACATGTTCACTGCAGCATTATTCACAAAGGCCAATATATAGAAACAACCTACAACCTATGTTCCCATCAATAGATAAATGGATATAGAAGTTGTGATATATTTCTATAATAGAATATTAATCAGACTTAAAAATATAAAATCCTGTCATTTGTAACAACATGAACATTATGATAAGTGAAATAAGCCAGGCACAGAAAGACAAATACTCCATGATCTCACTTATGTGTGGCATCATTAAAAGGTCAAATATATAGAAACAAAGAATAGAGCAGTGATTGGGAGGAAATAGGGAGATGTAGGTCAAAGGGTACAAAGTTGCAGTTATGTAGAATGTGTAAGTCTAGAGATATAATGTAAAAGATGAGGACTGTATTTGATAATATTGTAAACTGAAAATTTGCAAAGGGTAGATTTTAGGTGCTCTTACTGTATACAAAAGGTAACCACATGAAGTGATGGATATGTTAGTTTGCTTGACTATAGTAATCATTTTGCTATGTATATGTATATCAAGACATTATGTTATATACCTTAAATATATATAATACAAACAAAGGCTAAAAACTCAATTCCTTTTCATAAAAAAACTCACTGGAAGCTAGAAATGGTCAGGTCAAAAACTTAGGTATCTTCCTTGATTCCTCTCTTTCCCTCTAACTCCACATTTGATTTATCAACAACTCTGATCAGCTTACCTTTCAAAATGTATCCAGAATCTGTCCATCTTCCCCGCCCCTGCCCAGTCCAAAGCCTCCTGACTCTTCTCCCTACTCCCATACTTGCCCCTCATACACCCGGAACATTCTGCACCATAGACAGAGCAATCATGTCAAAATGTAAGTCGTATCATGTCTTTTCCTTACTTATTACCCTGCAATGTCCTCACCTCACTCAGAATTAGAGCCCAAGTGCTCATAGTTGTCTACAAGGACCCACATGATACGAACCACCTCCTTTCCCACCCAGTTTATTAACCACCCAGAAGCCAGAGTGATGTCTTTCCCATACTCAGTGCTCTGCAATCATCTTATCTTACTGAATCACGGCCTAATTCATTACAGTTCCCTATAAGAACCCACATGATGTGATCCCACCTTACCTTTCTTCTCTCATATCCCTCACTCACTCACTTATGACACAGATTTTCTTGCTATTGTTCAAGTAGGCCTGAAAAACTCCTGCCCCAGGACTTTTTCACTTGGTCTTCCCTTACGTGAGGGAGACATATGCACATTCTCTCACATATGCACATGCCTGGCTCCCACTTTTCATTCAGATCTTTCATGGGTATCTCTTTCTAAATGAAGCTTTTCTCTCTTTTCCTTTATTTTTCTCTTTAGCAGGACAGTTTTAAATTACCTGTTATGCCTTCATCAATCCCAGCCAACACAGTATGCAGAAAGATGCTCTTTGCTTGGGAGAAGAAGAGGGATGTGAACACCAGGATTTGACTCAGATCCCAGCACTGGGACTGACACAGTAAAGTCTAGCCCTGGACAAGCCATGATTACCCCGGATTGTAGGCTGGTCCCCACAGACTTGGACACTAGGCTAGCCATTGTAGCTCCAGGGTCCAGGCCATCCCTGCAGATGCAGTCTCCCATACCTGGGCAAATAGCCCCAAACTCCAGACTTCCTTCAGCACCAGATCATACCTTCAGGCTTGCACTCATTCCAAGACAGCCCCTTCAGCCTCAGGCTTCAGGCCAGACACTTCTCCAGCCCCTTTCTATCACAAAACCAGCACATCTGGACTCCACTTTAAGGCCAATATCAAGAGACCCAGTATCCAGACAAACTCAGCTCCAGGCTGCCCTTCACACTTCCAGGCTTTGGGTCTGTCCCAGTGCCGCATTGACACCCATGGACCTCAGCTCCAGGCTGGCACCCATGGCCTCAGGTACCAGATCAGCACCAAAAGATTCAGCCTCCAATATAGCCCTCATGGGTACAGACTCCAGGTTGGTCCAGTTCCAGGCCATCCCTGATGGCCCGAGGTTTCAGGCTGGCCCATTCAAGCTCAGGCTTCAGGCCCACATCAGGCTCCAACCCAGCCCAAAACAAGGCTGGCCCACACCAGCCCCAGGCTTCAGGCCCAACCCAGTACTAAGCTGATCTCTTCAACCTCAGACTTCGGGCAATTGCCCAAAGACCAAGTCTCCAGCCACACCCCAGAACCAGGTCAGTACCAATGGCCTCAGGAACCAGGCTGGCACCCACATACCCAGTCTCCAAGATGGACTACACAGACATAGGCTCCAGACTTGCCCAGTGCCAGGCAAGCCCCTGTGGCCTCACACTACAGTAGTGCCTGGATCCAGGCCTACTCTAGTAAACTCAGGGTCCAGGACCATCCCAGTAGACTCCAGTGCTGGGATGGTTGCCATGGATCCAGATACCGGGCTTACTCCCCTGTTCACACAGGAACCATGCCAGCGTACTTGAGGACTCCAGCAGTGAGCCTGCCCATGGACCACACCAGAAAGCTCTCCTAGAATCTCTGGACAGGCTGGCTGATGAAGGGCTTTCCCAGCTGAAGCCAGCCTGCAAAGAGTGGAATAAATCCTTAGTTTTTCAGATGGGCAAATACCAGTTCATGGCCACAAGGATTACAATCAGGAAACCATGACACCACCAAAGTAACAAAACTCCTTTGGGTATATACCCAGTAAGGGAATTTGCTGGGTCAAATGGTATTTCTAGTTCTAGATCCTTGAAGAATTGCCACACTGTCTTCTAAAATGGCTGAACTAATTTATACTCCCCAAAACAGTGTAAAAGCATTCCTATTTCTCCACATCCTCTCCAGCATCTGTTGTCTCCAGATTTTTTAATGATCGCCATTCTAACTGGCATCTCATTGTGGTTTTGATGTGCATTTCTCTAATGACCAGTGATGATTAGCTTTTTTTCATATGTTTGTTGGCTACATAAATGTCTCCTTTTGAGAAGTGTCTGTTCATATTCTTTGCCTACTTTTTGATGGGGTTGTTTTTTTCTTGCAAATTTGTTGAAGTTCTTCTTAGATTCTGGATATTAGCCCTTTGTTGGATGGAGGAATTGCAAAAATTTTCTCCTGTTCTGTAGGTTGCCTGTTCACTCTGTGTGGTATTATTTCTGAGGCCTCTGTTCTGTTTCATTGGTCTATATATTTGTTTTGTTACCAGTACCATGCTGTTTTGATTACTGTAGTCTTGTAGTGTAGCTTGAAGTCAGGTAGCGTGATGCCTCCAGCTTTGCTCTTTTTGCTTAGAATTATCTTGGCTATGCAGGCTTTTTTTTGGTTCTGTATGAAATTTAAAGCAGTTTTTTTCCAATTCTGTGAAGAAAGTCAGTGGTAGCTTGATGGGGATAGCAGTGAATCTATAAAATTACTTTGGGCAGTATGGCCATTTTCACAATATCGATTCTTCCTAACCATGAGCATGGAATGTTTTTCCATTTGTTTGTGTCCTCTCTTATTACCTTGAGCAACAGTTTGTAGTTCTCTTCGAAGAGGTCCTTTGCAGCCCAGGTAAGTTGTATTCCTAGGTATTTTATTCTCTTTGCAGCAATTGTGAATGAGAGTTCACTCATGATTTGGCTCTCTGCTTTTCTATTATAGGTGTATAGGAATGCTTGTGATTTTTGCACACTGATTTTGTATCCTGAGACTTTGCTGAAGTTGCTTATCAGCTTAAAGAGATTTTGGGTTGGGATGATGGGGTCTTCTAAATATGCAATCATATCACCTGCAAATACAGACAATTTGACTTCCTCTTTTCCTAGTTGAATACGCTTTATTTCTTTTTCTTGCCTGATTGCCCTGGCCAGAGCTTTCAATACTATATTGAATAGCAGTGGTGAGAGAGGGCATCCTTGTCTTGTGCCGGTTTTCTTTTGTGTGTGTGTATGTGTGTTCATTATACTTTAAGTTCTGGGGTACATGTGCAGAACCTACAGGTTTGTCACATAGGTATATATGTACCATGGTAGTTTTCTGCATCCATCACCCTATCATCTACATTAGTATTTCTCCTAATGCTATCCCTTCCCTACCCCCCAACTCCATGACAGGCCTGGTGTGTGATGCTCCTCTCCATGTGTCCATGTGTTCTCATTGTTCAACACCCAC